CCCCCCCCCCCCCCCCCCCCCCCGGGGGACTCTGGCCAGCAAACACCGCCAGAGCCAGGTGCGAGGGGCCCTGGGTTTGAGAGGGGTGGCTTAGCCCCGCCTGCGGGTCTCCATGGCGCTGAGGGGCCCTGTAGGGGAGAGCTGGTGGGGGAGGAGGGCCCTGCTGCTGGTGGTTGGGGGGGAGGCTGTATTCAGATGTAGGGGAGGGTCTGAGGAAGGGTCTGGGCCCTCCGATTCCTCTGCCGGTCCCAGACCAGGGGTTCGGTGTCCCCTCGGGGGCAGGACCGTCGCTGCCCCCGAGCGTCTGTCAGTCAGGTCACGTTGGGAGTTGCTGGCCCAGCCTCCCCCCCCCCCCCCCCCCATCTGAGTCCTGGAAGTGCCTTGAGGTTTGGGCGGGGCTGAGGAGTGGGGGTAGGTGGGGCCTGGGTTCCGGAGGGAGGGGTCTCACCCCTGCCCTGCCTGCCCCTAGAGGCCCTTAGGACAGTTCCTCTCCTGGCAGCTCCTCCTCCAGGTCCCTGTCTTCTGGAGGCCCCGCGGTGCTGGGGTTGGGGGGGCCCAGGGCGGGGCCTGGCCGCCGGTCTTCCTCTGCCTCGGCCGGCTCCTCTTTCACCTGCACCTGGTGGCTGTGACAGAAGGGATCGTGTGGGCACCCGGGGGGGGGGGGGGGGCGGTTCCCTGGCCTCCACAAACACCCAGAATCTGGGGGTGCAGTGGGGTGCCTGCAGCTCACTCCCCTAGGACCGCATCATCCCTGAGCCACTGGTGCCTGACGTCTTAGGTCTGATCTCCCCCTGAGCTCTCCTCCCAGGAAGGGGGATGTTGGGCTGGGCAGCGGTCGCCTCTGAACTGGGAGAAGACAGAGAACAGGGGGAGAGGAGGAAGGAGAGGAGGAAGAAAGCAGGAAGGAGGGAAGTAAAAAGGAAGTGGAGAGAGGAGAATGAGAAGGGAGAGGGGAGGAGAGGCACCATGGGAAGGGAGAAAGAGAAGTCACTCGTGTGGGAAGACAGGTGTGGGTGTGGGGGTGTAATTAGATAGAGACCCCACCTGCAGTGGTGTCTGAGGGGCCCCGGGGGTGGGGGATCCGTACTGTGTGCTCACCTGTACTGGGGTGGGGAGAGGCGAGGGGGGCTGCTGCTACCATTGCTGGGCAGCGGCTCCACGGAGGCGCCCACGTCGTCGTGGCTGAGTGGAAGGAGGCTGCTGGCGGAGCCCGGGTTCAGCATGCCAGGGCTGTTGAGGAGGGGGAAGCTGCTCTCGGCCAGGGCGGCCTGGAGGGCACAGGGTTGACCCCATCAGCCAGCCCTATCCAGGCAGGTGCTGTCCCTTCCGTGTCCCTAGAAAGCCTCCAGGGCGTCCTGTGCTGGCAGATCTATCTTGGCAAGTCCCCAGCCCAGGCTCGGCCTTTCCCACACATCACGTCTCCCCTCCCAAGGCCAGACTGTGACCCTGACCCACTGCCTCACAACATTCCCGGGAACCTGGGACCGTGGGCCTGACCTATCCCTTCCCAGGAGGCAGAGGGCCCCGAGCCTGACGAGCCAGAGAAGGGGACACGGCTGATTATGCCCACCTCCCTCCCTGCTTTGGTGCCCCGAGTTGGGGTGGGGCAGAGGGCTGGGGTCTGGGCCCCTCGGAGTGGTCTTCCCCCTCCCAAGCCAGATTGGAGCTCTGCAGGGGAGAGTGGACGAAGGGCAGTGTGTGTGGGCAGGACGGCAAGGGGGCAAGGGGAAAAGGGCTCCTGTCAGGGCGCACTCACCTGGTAGCTGGCGTTAAGTGCTCCGTAACTGAGGCCCGAGATCATGTTCTTCACCAGGGTGGGGCTCCTGGAAGACAGAGAAGGCAGTGCTCTGTTCGTTCCTTCAGGCCTTGACCCGGACTAGGTCCTGCCTTGTGCTCGGCGATATTCCATTCCTGATGCTAGGAGGCTACGGCACGGTCAGCAGCGTCTGCCGAGCCCTGGGTGGGCTCCATCGCCCTCAACCCTCACGCTGACCCGGCATGGTGCATCACGTGCTGACAGCCCCCTTCCCGGGCCCGGGGCTCTGGAACCTGGGCAGTGTCTCAGAGCCGGCAAGTGGGAACGGGGGTCCCTCCCGATGCCTGTCTTCACATCATGCCACCCCAGCAGTTCTTCTCTGCTGTCTCCATTTCCCAGTGCTTGGCGGGCCCAAGCTAGAGCCCTGACCTCCCCAGTCTGTAATATCCATGCTATCTTGCCGTACGGAATCGTGGGACATCTAATAACCCAGGGGCTTGGCTTGGCCTGTCCCCAGGTGCTCCACGCCAAAGGCTTGTCTGCCCAGGAAGGGGTTCAGGAGTTGGGTCAGGAAAAACCATGGCTCAAGGCTGTCCCTCTTCCATAGCAATTAATCCCCTACCCCCCATTTACAGAGCATCTAAGGGAGGTTAAGGAACTGACCCAAGCTCACCCAGCCAGTGAGACGCAGACGTGCATCTGAATCCAGGTCTTCTGACCAAGTGGGTAAAGAGACGTAAAAATAATCCCCCCATGTTTGGAGGGGGGCACTCAGAAGGGGATGGCTCTCCTTCCCTTTTCCAGGCCCCAACCCTGCCCAGCCCCCACAGCTGAGTGGGGTGGAGAGGCTCTTTTCCCAGGAGAAAGATCTTCGAGGGCAAAAGGCATTCACACAAATAGATATCCACCTACTTGCCTCACTTCTCTCCCCCTCCCAACAGGCCTCTGGCCCAAGAAGCACGGGCAAAGGGTGGCCCACGTGAGGGACATCTGGGGTGGAAAGGCCACTGGGTGTTGGAAGGGAAGCCAAGGGGAGGTTTCGACCCGCCCCCAAGCTCCTCAGTTTCCAATGAAAATGCTGCATGCTAGAGCGAACGCAAAAGGTGGGAGTTCCGAGACCCAGCTCTGCTGTGAATCTGCAGTACAGTGTGACCTTCCCCCAGCCCCTTGCCCTCTCTCGGTCTCCTCTCCCTATAAAACACGGAGGTGGGGCCTGGGGTCCTCAGAGGTCAGCTCATCCTGTGATGAGATAGGGGAGTACGACTCTGAGGCTGGCAGCCCCCTCACCAATGGCCACCTAGCTGGCATCTGCCCATGTCCCAGCTCCAGCCATGGCTACTTTGGGTCTCTGTCTCTGGTGCCAGGTCCCCCTAGGCTCCTTCCCCTCAGCCAGAAATAGGGACAGAATAAGACATACATGTCTTCTTTCTGATCACCTGTCACTTCCAGATTCTAGGCTCCCCACCCCCAAAGTGGGAAGGACCGGGTTCACATGGGTGTCCTGGAGAAAAACGGGGGGTGACCCGGTCCACGCCCCAGGCAGATGCCTCTGCTTGGGGCTGGGCCAACATACCCCGTCATCTTTGGCGGCCTCCGTTTCTGATACTCGCGCTCATCCACGGTCCACACGGCGCCCTTGACGTTCTCCACGCGCACGAAGCACTTGTGCAGGCTGAGGTTGTGCCGCACAGCATTCTGGGGGTGCAGAGACAGGGCGGGTGCTCAGAGGCCCCTTCCCCACTCAGGCAAGCACACACAGCAAAGTCCCTGTCCCACCATGTCCCACCTCCCCTGGCCCAAGGACAAGCAGGCTGCCCCAGGGAGGAGTCCCAGCCAGGGGCGAAGGCAGGCCTCTCTCCCACCCTTGACCCAGGGACTGCCAGGGTCCTCGGAGCCCACAACCCATTTTATGATCTGCTCCCTTCTCCCTGCCATCTTTTGGAAAACCCTGTCTACCAACTAAATGCTATCTAGGTAGTAATAATTTGTTTTCCCGGCAGCATTGATCAGACACACGTCGCTGTTACTTGGGGCTCCTGATCACCAGGAGATCACACTCGGGCCCTGGCACATCAGTGACCTGTTATCTCAGGTGCATGCAGAATTTCCACTAGGCTTTAGAAGTTCTGGACATAAATCAGGAACCCTCGCTGCAACCTTCCTCAATCTCTAGGAGTGTAGGAACCATGACTTTGAGAACAGACAGCTTATTAAGAGCATGAGGTAAACAGCAGGCCTAATGCATACTTGTTGAAATACACGGGGAGAAAAGAGAGCACGGGTTTAGTAGCTGGGAGGCAGGAAGAGGAGAGAGAAAAGAGGAAAAGTCACCTTGTCGCTCCCACCTCCTCCTGGCAGGGTAACTTCAGGAATTGAGGCCATCTGAATTGTAGGACACTTGGGTGAGGGCGGGGGTGCTTGGCCCAATTTCCCCCCGGGGGGGGGGGGCTAGACGAGGGCCCTAGCCCACCCACTCCCCGCATGGCCCTCAGTCCCGTCTCTGTGCTCTCCTCTCTCGGCTTCGCCCCCCCCACCCCCAGCCATCCCTGTCCCTGTTACCTGTCCTCCCTCTGCTTCCCCCGCCTTGTCCCCATCCTTGTCTCCTCTTTACATTTCTAAACGGGGAAGAAAGCCGGCAGGGCGGGCAGCCCGTGCCCCTGGAGATCCCCTCTCCCTCTCTCCCTTCCAACTCTTGCCACTTGCAACTGGCCCGATTTCATTACCAATTTTAATTTGCCTCTAATTAAATCCTGTGTATTTTTCCGACTCGCTTGCTAATCCACGAGGGAGGCGGGCGGCTGGAGTGGAATCTCTTGGAGCGATAATTACAAAGGGCCTAATCACGCCGGGGCTCCTGCCTCGGAATAAATTTGCCCGCATTACGGGGCTCCGATCCTCCGCTTTGCAAATGAGAATGACCCCAATTTCCGAGGATGGCCTCACCGGGGCTTTTTTCCCTCATTTCGAAGCCTGATTCGTGATGAGAGACTAATTCGTTACGCTGAAACATTAACGGCAATTTAAGGGGTCTGGCGGGGGGCTGCGTAAACAAAAGGACGGGCCCACAACACGGGCCCTGAGAGGGGATGGACACAGGGGGCGGGCTGGTGAGGACCACTGGCTTGGCAGATGGCAGCTCTGTCCCCGGATGAACGGCAGCTGGCCTGGCCCAGGCTGGTGCCCGACCCTTCTGCCCTGGTCTGAAGTGGACAGCAACTCAGGGTGTGGGCCAGAAAGGGTGAAGAGGGAGGAGGGGACGAGATACAGTTGGGAAGAGGCGGGGCCTCAAGGGGCAGACGAATGGGTGGAAAGTGGAAGGGGAACAGTTGGGTGTAGACAGGGTACGTTTCCTGAGGAACAGGGATGAAGCCTGGCTGCAAAAATCCTGAGGGTGAAAGTGGACCTCGAGCAGGGACAGATTCTACTGTGCCACAGGTAGGGAGGGCACAGGTAGTGCCCTAAGTGGCAGAAACAGCAGCAGGGCACTAACTAGGAAGGTCAACTGCTCCCCCAGCTCCCGGTGTCGCACTGGGACCTACACTAGGTGAGGGGGGGTGGAGGTGAAGACCTGGGAGTGAGAGACACACGACTGGGATGACCCTGGCTGGGTGACGACTGAAGGTGGCATGGGAGGCCAAAGGCACTGGGCTAAAAGGGAGGGGCTTCACGACGGTCATTGAGGGGTTTCAGGAAGTCCCCCAAACCAGCTCCTTGTGATCTCAAGAAAGGACAATGGGGTGATACAGTTAAGAGAACAGGAAAGGAGGGTAGGTGGCTGAGTGACACTCTGCCCCCAGAAGGAGGCTGTCTTATGAAGTGAGGCTCTATAGTCTCACCCCCAAAGACAGAAGATTAATCTGCATCATTAACATAAACATTAGATAAAAACTGTAGTGATCCTTTATGTTTGCATAGAACTCTTATCATTTATAAGACTAGGCATCCAAACTGGCCTAGAGGTTGGAGACCGGGCTAGGTGGTCCCCACAAGGCCCTGCTGGCTCAGGGAGAGGGCAGGACTGTGGTTGGCAGGAAATGACATCATTCACAGCCAATCAGAGCAGCTGTCCCAGCCCAACAGCCTCTTTCCCAAGCTTTGGGAATTGGGCACAGGGATACGGAAGGTCATAGAGCAGTGTCTCCTGCTGCAGTTAGCACATTTCGGGGCAGAGGAGACCGGGCCTTGTGCAGACCCCACCCAATCCGGCACTGGTGGGGAGGGGGCCTCAATGACACTTGTTGAAACCTAGAGGGGTGGTGGGGAGGTAGCCTGTTTTGCTGCACTTTCCAAGCTGGCCAGCAGGGGGACTCAAGAGCCAGGGATCCAATTAAGGTTCTGAGACCCAGGGACTCTTTCCCGGGTGTCTAACTTTCCCTGCAGGGTGCCGACAATCCCTTCTCCTCTCCCCTCCCCCTTCCCAGTTTAGATATCACCTCCCCACTCTGCTGCACAGACCCTCATACTCTCACCCATCTCTCTCTCTCTCTCTCTCTCTCTCTCTCTCTCTCTCTCTCTCACACACACACACACACACACACACACACACACACACACCTCCTGGCTATGGAAAAACAAATAGCTGAGTGCCCCAGTCCACATCTCAGTGTCCCATTTTTCTAGGGTCCCTCCCTTCCCTGCCTCTGGTCCCCTGAGAACACTCTATGGCTGAAGGTGTTGAAATGACTAATTGGATCGAGACAATTATCTTCCTGCTGCCATGGCAGAGCGGGGGAGAGGGTGTGAGCGCCTGTGTTTGTGCCCCAGCACAGTCTACGGGTCTTGCTCGGTCCACCCACGTGTCCGGGTCTGCACACTGCCCACCCCACCCTACGCTTCAGAACATGTACCTTTAGCCGAGGTACCCAGACCCTTAGGGTCTCTTGAGGGTGTAACCTGGCTCTTCCTAACAGGCTTGGGCATTACGGACTCCTGGAGGCCCTACTTCATGGGGCTGGAGTCTCTGGGGCCTGTTGGGGAGCACCCCAGAGAAAGGAAACTTTCTTCCCAGAAGGCAAGCAGCACAAGGCTGGAAAGGAGGGAGTATTAAGAAGCAGTTTGAGAACATACTATATAGCCCATGCTGAAGTGGGGGTGGAGGGGCCCATGGTGCGGCCTGGGCCCTGCTGGGGCCATTTCTGTAGAACTGCCCCTCCGAGGGGACTAAATGTTATGCACCCTTGGTCTCAAAGGGAGGTGGACATGTCCAAGGGTGACTGGGGCCCTTGGGAAGGAGGAAGGAGCATGCCTCACCTTCCAGGTGGCAGTGTTTCTCCGGAAATAGGCGAACATCCTGGTGAACCAGTTATAGATCTCATTCAGGGTCAGCTGCCTGTCGGGGGTTTCCAGAATGGCCTATGGGCAAGAGAGAAGCAAAGAGACCCTTAGTCTGGGCCTCGAGGGGTCACAGGCCTGTGTTCTCTCCCTTTTGCCTGGCCCAACGCTCACCCCGAGGAGAGAGGACACCCACTACAGAAGCCTGTGGGACAAGAGAACTGGTGGGTGCCTGTCGGTCCCCTGATGGGAGCAGGCTGGTTACAGCCCAGCCAGGGGCCAAAGAAAACACGAGCCTCAAGGGCTACCCCCTTGTGCAAGCAGCACATGACTTCCTTCTGGAGGGAAACTGGTTTCAAGCACCCCTGCCCTGGAGTGGGAATGAAGCAGCGTTCTCAGGAAAGAGATGTCCTCAGGGTGGGGGCCGTTTGGAATTTATCCTAATTTTGGCAGAGGGCACCCAAAGCATGAGATGGGGTACGTATGCAGCACATATGAGAACAAGTGTGAGGACGTGTGTGCCTGCGTGTGGAGATCAGAGCAAGCGGACGTACGTGTAAACGTACGTTAAGCATTAAGGACATGAGGGAGGGAACACAGGGGTGTGTGTGTGTAAGAGGGTTGGGGGGGGAGGGGGAGAGGGGGCAGGCAGACAAAGGGCAAGCCTATGAGAAAATAATCTCCTAGAAGTGTATGTACATGGGAGTGAGAGAACGATTGACAGTGGGTATGAGCAACAAAAAATGCGTGTGCCCCCAGAGACATGTCTGCACCAGCAGGTGCTGAGGCAAAGCCTGTGCCAGAGGCCGTACGGCTGGGAAGGAAAACCCACGTGCCAGGACAGGACAGGTGTGGGAGGGGAAGTCTCTCCTCTGGCCCTAGGACCCTCCTGGAGGCTGGGGCACTGAGGGTGTGTGTGTGTGTGTGTGTGTGCGCGTGTGTGTGCGCGTGCGCGTGTGTGTGCGCGTGCGCGCGCAGCCTGTGTGCCCTTCCCACCCCCTGTACCATCCACACTCACCTGGCGGATGAGGGAGGCGTAGGTGAAGGGGGGCCTGACGTCGGCGTTCTTGTAGAACTCGTGATTCTGGGCCAGCTCTGGGGGAGACAGGCAGAGGGTGAGGTAGCCAGCTGGGGAGTCCGGCTTGCGGGGGAAAATGACCCTCCCGGCAGTCCTTACCTGAGGAGATGGGGGAGCAGAACTTGTCGCTGCTCCTCCGCCGGGCGGGGCCCCCGCTGTGCAGGGAGGCAGAGCTGAGGCCGGGGGGCCGTAGGGGGGTGACAGGGGCAGCGGCCGAGGTGGGGGGGTGCACGAGGCCATCTGGGAAGGAGTCTGCTGCAGACACGGTCACCTTGGAGAATGAGGAGGAGCCAGGGACCGGGTTCAGCTGTGAGCAGTGGGGCAGGTGCTGAGATCAGCGCCAAGGGTGGGGGTCCCGGGAGGGCCGCAGGGAGGGGTGAGTCACTCACCGGCTGGCTGAAGGGCTTGGGCTCGGAGGGCCGCATGTGCAGGTGCGCCATCATGGCCTGCAGCCTCTCACTCTCCTTGGCGAGCTGTGAAGAGGCGGGAGGTGGGCAGGGGCTGAGCCCCAGGGGCCTCGAGTCCTCTTCCCCCTCCACCAGACACCCATGAAAACCCATATTCCCACCACCCCTCTCCTCCACACCTCAGGGGTCCCCTACTGCTGGAAAGCCTCAGCTCCCCCCTGCCCCTTCATACCCTCAAGGCCAGGGCCTGGGGCCGCCACCCACTGCATAAAGCCCCCGCCCCCTTCTCCCCCACACTGTGTGTCCCAGGCTCAAGCTCAGCAAGCTGCTACAAGTCAGGGGCCTCCTTCCTCATGGCACAGGCGTTTTCTCCCCACCGAAGGCAGAGGCTGTGGCTGAACAACACCCAAGTTCAGTGGCACTTGTGTGTGAGAGGGTCCTCGCGCAATGAATGGAGACGTGGGAATGGATGAATGATTCATTCACCCCCATTCATAAATTCAATAGATCTTTCACAACTGCCCTCTCATGGCAGGGCGCTCTGCTAGGTGCCAGAGGGAAGTGGGTTTATGCTGACTGGCTGCCTGACGGACTGCCCTGAACGGGCTTCAGAGTGCATGCTCGGGAGACAGACTGCCTAGGTTCTAATCCCCGCTTGGCCACCCACTGGGTGAGTGACCAGAGGCAAGTTTCTTCACCTCTCTGGGCCTTAATTTTCCGTATCCGTAGAGTGGGGATGGTAATAGTACCTGCCATATGAGGTTGTTTGGAAGATTCCTCGAGTTATCCAGGTAAAGTATTTAAACCAGCCCAGAGGGCGCGCTCAACGTGTTAGCTGTTAATGTTTTTATTGTTTTTATAAGGATGGCACTCTTCTGGCCACCCCACCCCGGATTTGCTCAGAATCAGACTGCGATCACCTCATGACCTTGGCTATCAGGAACTAGAAAGCAGAAGATGACCCTTCCACGAGACCCTCTAAGCCCCTCCTGGAATGTCAGTGCTGTAGGTGGGGCAGGGCCCGGAGGTCCCCAGGTCCCTGCAGCGCACACCTGGATCTCCAGCTGTTGTACCACCTGCATCTGCACCCGGCACTGGGCTGTGCTCCGGTCATCCAGGGCGTGCTCTGTGTTGAGGTGCCTTGGAGGAGGGGGAGGGGGCAGAGAAGGGAAAGTTGGGCCTGGCTTTCCAGCTGCTACTACCCTCGCCTGCCAGGGCCGCCGGGGGGGGCCCCACCTTTGGGGCGGGGGGGGGGGGGGGGGGGGGGGGGGCAGGGGAAATTTGGGCGGGGTTTTCCCCCGGTAATACCCCCCCCCCCCCTCCCCCCCCCCCCCCCCCCGCCCCACCATCCCATGCTCTAATCCCACCCACGGCCTGGAAAGTAGACAGACCGAGGGATACAACGGGAAAGAGGTGGGAAAGAAAAAAAACACCAAACCAAACCAAACAAAAAACGGGGCAACGGGGCAACGAAGGACTCGTCAGCCTCCTTTGATGTCTTTGCTAAAATCGCAGCTACAGAGAGATCTAATTGCAAATGAACTAATTAAGTAAACCTCTGACGAAGCGTGAAAACAATTTGTTTGACCCTGATGCTGCAAGGGTCTGGGAGACAGCGGAGTTAATCAGTCAGTGACAGAGCCTGGCACGGCTGTGGCAGCTGGCCGCCTGCTGCCAGCCGCCTGTCCGCCTCCCTCCCTGCCTGTCCACCGGCCTTCCGGCCTGTCACCAGGCCATCAGTCTCCGGGGCTGAGTCCGTGGGGAAGCTGGGGAGGGTGGCGGGGGGCGTCCTCTCCTGCTCCTCACACCCCCACCCTGCCGAGCTCTTGACAGCCCGGGGATGGGGTACACAGAGGATGCAGGCCCTGCGACACATTGGAGGGGGGAGTGATCAGGGAGCTGGTGGGGGCAGGGAAGGAGCTAGGTACCCCAGGCGTGAGGACAGCAGGACAGCTGGCGGCTGGAGGCCCAAAAAGGGGCAAGCTAGGTGGCCGGCTGGGGAGTCAGGGGCCCCACGGAAAGGCTGCTGGGGGTGACACCTACTTGATAAACTGGCCGAGGTCTTCACACAGGGTCTCGCAGCCTGGCCACTTACACTCTCCGTGTCCGTAGAGGGGGTGGGAGCCTGGCGTCTCCTCATGGGAGGAGCTAGGAGAGCAGGACGGAGGCAGTGGTCAGGGACCCTAAAGACTCCAACAGCCCTGGCTCCCCCCGGCCGTTGATGTTTCTGTCCCTACTATGGGTTTCCCAGAAGCCGGGAATAATTTCGTGTGCCCTGGGAGAGGGGTGAACATCCAGAACCCAGCTCCACCTCCCCCCCAATCCCTGGGGCTCCAGGGGCACCCCGGGGAGGGGGCAGGTGTGCAGCACCCTCTCCCAACCTGGGCCCCGCACCTGTCTCTCCGAGGTGTGAGCACAGTGGGCTGTCCGTTGGGCAGGGTGTGGTGGGAGAGGGGGGGTGAAACTTTGGGGGGGGCGGCAAACGAGGTAGCGGTGGTGGCTGAGCCAGTGAGGTCCAGCCCCTCCTGCTTGACGCTGTCCTCGGCGGGCTGCCCGGGGGCACCCTCGCCCTTCCACAGCTGGGGCAAGTCCGTCGGGCACACGGCTGCTGCGGGAGAGAGAAAGGCGGGAGGCTGGCAGGGCCCCCGGAGAATCCACGGGGCTTCCCACCTCACCCCCGGGGCGGCGGGGCGGGCCCCGGCGCGGGGGGGGGGGGGCCGCACTCACCTTGCGGGAGGGTCTGGAGGGGCCCTGAGGCTTGGCTGGGCTGCAGGCTGACCAGCCCCTGTCTCTGCAGGTTGAGCAAGTGCTGCTGCTGCAACTGTTGCATTTGCAGGAGCTGCTGCTGGAAGGCCAGCTGCTTGTTCCCCAGTGCCTGGTGGGGGGCCCGAGGGGGCGTGCAGAGAGGGGTGCCATCGGCCGAGGGCGAGCCGTCTGGCCCCCACCCTGCGGCCACCCCCTCCCAGGGCCTGTCAGCCCCCGGAGCTGTGGGAGCGGCGTCCGCGGCTGCCGCCTCTCTGCTCCCGGCCCAGCTTCCATAGGGCTGCATGCCTCCTCGCAGTAAACACACGCACGCACGCACGCACGCACGCGCGCAAACACACACAGCGGACCCAGACACGCAGCACGACGCCCTCCCTGCTCCCGCCCCCCTCCTTCCGCTGCCTCAGCTCCCCGCACCGCAGCTGTGCTCGCCTGGAAAGGGGGGGGGGGCTCTCATCACAATGATCGATGAGCCTGTCAGACTCCGGGGGCCACTCCCGCCTGGCGGGCACCCTTCCCACATGCCCGGGTGCCCCCCTTCTGCGCTGAGGAGGGGGCCTACCCCCTCCAGCTCCTCTCCTCTCCTGCTTCTTAGATACAAGGAATCAAAGAGTCTGACGAGACTTTCAAAGATCGGGATCAGCTGGTCATTGGGACCCAGGCCCAGGGAAGAGCCACATCGCTACTGCTCAGTGGCACGCTTGCTCGCTGTACGGGAGCTCGGCTCTCTCCCTCTCTCTCTGCCCGCCCCCCGCCCCCCCCCTCCTCAGTTCTTCACACAGGCACTGACAAGTCGGGCCGTCAGCAAGTCTTTTCTGAGTCCCAGGAGCCTAGCAAGTCCTGGGTGCTTGGGAGGCAGGGACGGCTCTGCCTGCCTGCCTGCCTGCCCTGGGGGTGGGGTGGGGGGCTGGCTATTCAATAAACCCAGCCTAGAGATAATGCAGAGAATGCAACAATTACAAGACTGTTGAGGGGGAGGCTGCTGGGCTTTGGGAAATGACTAGGCATCACCAGGGCAGCCTTCTGGGAAGAGGCAGCTCAGGACTTGGCTGTGGTTTGGCCAGCTGAAGGGGAGGCTCATGTCTAGGGCATGGAGGGAGAGCCAAGGGGCCTGGTATGGAAGCTCAGGAGACGCGGTGGCCCAGATGAGGCGAGGGGATGCAGGCTAGGGAGTTCTCTGGAGGGGAAGGGCAGGATATGACAAGTGGCCGAGGCTGGGGCAGGGCTGGGGGGGGGGGTGCAAGTGGGTAAGAAAGGGGCCAACAACAAAGCAACCGGTCATGAGCAAGGGCTGTTGGACGCTCATGCACACATCTACACGCCTGTGTGCGAGGAACACAGCAGGGCTTAGCCTTCTGCTCTCATTAATCCAACAACACAAGGGCACAGCCAGCCCTGCCCAAGCCCCTTACCTCTTTGGGTTGCTGCTTCCCAGCCTGCTGTTGGGTGAGGAGCTGTAAGTGGAGCTGCTCTTGCTGCTTCTTGTAATATTCCTGCAGCTGGGTGGAGGGTTGGGGTGGGAGCGGGGGGAGGGGGGAAGGGGGTGGCAGGGGTGGGAGTGGGTTACCGCGGGTAGGGGACTGATGACCCTACAGCAACCCCAGCCTGCTGTTAACTGGGCTCCTGGAGCAGAAGGAGGGAGTCTCACCGGGGCGGTGACACACACATCCCCCCGCAGGGATATGTCTGCTCTCCCTAGTGGGCTCTGAGGGTCCCCAGCAGGGCCTGGATGGAGAGGCGGTGGAGAAGGGGGAGGGGGCTTCACCCCACAGCTGTGAGCCCTCCCTGCCTCTTGGTGGGTCTCCTGAACAGGTCACAACAAGGTGCCAGGAGGTTCCAGTACTCTGCCCTTCCCTGGGGTTCTGGATATAGAGGTGGGGTCCGTACGAGGAGGAGTCTGGGGGTGCTGCTGTGGGACAGGCCTGACCTCTGACCTGTCCCCAGTGGCCCTGGAGGAATGCAGACCAGTCCAGCCTGAGCAGTCTCTCTGGTTCCTGCCACTGCTTTGGCCAGCAGTGATGTTGGCAGTAAACAGGGTGGGAGATGGGAAGCCAGCACCTACCCTGCCCCCCCCTCCTCTCTTAGACTTCCCAGCTGCCCCGGGGCCAGACTCACCTGCTGGAGCATGAGCGCTTGTTGCTGCTGGAGCAAGGCCTGCAGCTGTGGGGGTGACAGGATCTGCTGCATCTGTTGGGGGGTAAGCATCTGCGGCGACATCATGGCCACCGACACGGGCACCTGTGGGATTTGGCCCCATTAGCCTGCTCACCTCGATCCCACCCACAGTATGGTGGCATGGACTGGAGTGAGACTGCCTGGGTTCGAAATCTGGCTCTGCCACCTGCCAGCTGTGTGTCTTGTGACAAGTGACTTACCTCCCTGTTCTCTGTTTTCTGGTCGCTGAACAGGAAGGAGCGGTCAGTAGAACCCATAATGCTTCTCCCCCGGGGGACAGGCCACACCGGGCCCTTCCCAGTTCTTGCTCAGTCTAATCTGACAGCACTGTCTACAAGCTGGGCCTGGCCAGGAGAGCGGTCTGCAGCTATGGGAAGAACTCAGAAAGTGGCCCGCATGGCATGGGGACTCTGGCTCTGATCCCATACACGTCACAGACTCTCACAATACCTGTCTAGACGGCACACACAGGTGTAGTTAAGTCAAAGGGGGGGGGGGGGGGCCGCAGGTGGAAAGAACACCAGGCAGGGAGTTTGGAGGCACGCTGCTGCTGCTAGCCCTGGAATGAATTTGCTGTGTGACCTCTAGGCAAGTCACTTGCTGTCTCTGGGGCGTCAGTTTCCTCAAACGTGAAACAGGGATTGAACTACAAGAGAGGACTCCCAGTAGGAACGTGCAGGAGTCTCAAAGTAGAGCAGCTTTCTATCCCCTGCCCTGGGTTAGGCCTCTGTGGGAGGCCTGCAGGACCTAGCTACCAGCAAGAGGTTCCTGGAAAAGCAGTAACATCATTCTTTTCTCGGCCCCACCTCCCTGAAATCCCCAGGCTGGGGCAGTCATCGCCAGGGAGGCCCAAGTTGCAACGTTGCCTTCTCCCGTTGTTTTGGCAGGGCAGGTGCCCTGATGGGGCTCTATGCCAACCCCACCGCTCTGAGCCCGGCTTGTCTAATCTCCCCTCCCACAGCCAAGCCCTAGAAGCGCCCCCACAACCCCCCCCTTTCCCACACACAGCAGGCACTCACTGAGTGTTTGCACCCCTGAGCTGAAATACCTTCCCCAGCAGATCAGAGGCCCCTCTGCCAGCCCAGGGGTGGGGAGGGGTTCGGGCAGCCCAGTCAGGGAGGGGTATCCTGCAGGGACTTGTCCTGGGCAGGATGTGACAGGTTATGTCCTCAGGGGACTTGTGGCCCTGTCACCTCCCCCTCGCCTCATGGGTGGGGCAAGGGAGAGGAGTTGGTTCCCTTCTGGATCCCTGGCAGGGGCAGGACTCAGCCTCAAGCCACCAATTAGGGGCTTCCCTGATAGAGGAGCAGCAGGGGAAGTGTGGTGGATCCAGGGACGTCGGGGAAGTCCCAGTGCCCCCGATTCTTCTCCCCACCCCCCACCCCCCACCAACAACTAGTGGCTGAGCCCCGGCCCTGGGCTTTTCTCCTTCATCCCAGTCATCTCTGTGCCAACAGCCTAGGGTGGGGCACACCCTAGCTCTTTAGCTGTGATGCTCTGTGTGAATGAAGGCTCCCAGGGGCCTCTAACGAGGAGCCTTAAATGGCAGGGTTGGGATTCACACCCAGGTCTGTGAACTCCATGGCTCCTGGTGTTTCTATGTCCCACACTGCCTTCTCCAGCCCAGAGCAGGTCTTGAGGAAGGTCTGGAAGAGTATGTGGAAACTGAACTTATCCAGGGAGCTGAGGGGTCAATGAGGCTGGAGATCCAAAGGCCAGCCTCCCTTTTTACAAGCATATTTGGAGGGGACTCTAGAAAGCCAGGGTGTAGGGGTCTTCTGGTCCTCGCTCTCGGAGGGGCTGGGGCCGAGGGGGCAGACAATGGCACAGACCCATGCCCCTTGCAGGCTGTCCCCAAAGCTGGGAGGTGGCTCAGCTGTCCTTTTTTTCCTCCTTCCATGGGGGTGCCCCCCATGGTGGTATTGAGCTCAGTCCTGGATTCCTGGGGCAGGTGACCTAAGTTCCTGTCCCTGACACTGACCATCCTTTGTACCCCATCTCATCTCCTACCAGACCTCCAATTGCTAATTACATGCCTTTAGGCACCCAGACCCTCAGTTCTACAAACTTTTGAAGCTGGCTCCTTTGTGCATATGGTCTCACAAATCTTACAGAACCCCGAGGAAGGAGGGTCTAATCCTCATACTATTTTACAGATGAGGAAACTGAGGCCTAGCGGAGTCAAATCACCTGCCCTTTCCTCAAAGGCACAATGGGAGAAGGGGTAAGTGAAAGTGATTTGTAGGCCATCAAATTCCACACAAATGCAGGGAAAACTACTTTTTTTTTTTTTTTAATTTTTTTTTCAACGTTTTTATTTATTTTTGGGACAGAGAGAGACAGAGCATGAACGGGGGAGGGGCAGAGAGAGAGGGAGACACAGAATCGGAAACAGGCTCCAGGCTCTGAGCCATCAGCCCAGAGCCTGACGCGGGGCTCGAACTCCCGGACCGCGAGATCGTGACCTGGCTGAAGTCGGACGCTTAACCGACTGCGCCACCCAGGCGCCCCAGGGAAAACTACTTTTAAAAACATCCTGGGTTTTCCTCTTCTCTTTTCTCTTCTCCCCCTTTCCCTCTCTCTTCCCCATGACTGCCCCTTAGGCCCGCCTGGAGCCCCGGAGGGTACTGCATGGCGAGGGTCCCCAAGGACCAGAGTTTGGGGCCTGTCATTCCCAGGGAGGACTCAATTTAGAGCCGGACATGGCCCAGGCAGGGAGGCAGACCAGACACCAGGGGATCTTTCCAGCCACTAGGGTTGTGAGTCACCGTGAGTGGCATGCAAGAAAGGATGTGGCATTTCCTTCCTTGGGGCTTTCCTACTTGGACGCAGGGGAATGGAAGAGATGACCTTGGAAGGCCTCCCTGGCCTCTGCCATTCCTGCCAAGTGGCCGAACAGCTGGCCGGAGAGGCGGCTGCAGAGATGTGGACGGATCACCTTGTGTGTACTTGTCCGGTGGGGCCAAGGAGGTCAAGAAAGGTCAGCGAAGTGGCTGCCGCATGCTGAGCTTCTGAACTGCCTGACCCCGTCCGCCTCCTCCCGTGCCCCTTAGGGTTCTGAGAACTGAGGTAGAGCTCCCCTGGTGTCCCCACTGACCCCTCACCAGGCTAGGATGTGTCAGGATAGGCACTGTCAGCCTGTCAGCTCAGCAAGGCCCGTGAGTCACTATCTGGAGAGTGGCCAGGACAGCTAAATGCTTACTAAAGCCCTGGCAGTGCGAGCCCTGGGCTAAATGCCGACAGCTGCCTCCAGCCCCTCCCTCAGGGACCCTGCCCAGGCCCCTGAGTCCTCCACCCACCATGACTACAGTGTGCTGGGCTGGGTGGCCTGACATAGAGGCAGCTTATCTGGGACCTGAGGGTTGGGAGGCTGTGCACCCCATGGATGCGATTTGGTGCCAGAATCAAGGACCCAAATTCAACCTCTTAAGTGGGGTCTAAGGTCCTTGGCTCGGTGGAGAGACCAGGCCAGACAGGCCAGACGGGCCAGAGCTTGGTCTAGGTTAAACTCCCTTGCAAATGACCAGAAGGAAGTCGGCAGGCTAGTTCTGGGCTGGAGCTGCAGCAAGGAAGAAGTAAAGAAGTGGTGGGGCACCAAGATGAACTTCCAGAAATTCTGGAGAAGATGATACAGAGGCTGGACAGAGCTAAGGGGCCTGGCCCTAGCCTACCATCGTCCCCTCCACCCCCCAAAACTCCCAGCTACCTTTGCTGCCTTCTATAATTGACCCCTCCCTGCCTGGGGGCCCAGACTGGGGCACAAACTAGGCCATCTCCAGGCTAGGGGTGGAGACTCCAGTGGTTCTAGAAACTTCTGAAGCTGGCTGCAGGAGAGGGGTCCTGAACATGGTGGGGAGGTGAGTGGGCAGCCAATCCTGTCTTGAGATGGGGAACAGAGCAGTGTCATGTGGGGGCCACTGTTAAAGGGCCGCCACCTATCTCCTTCTTTTAACCATTTCACTCACAGAAAAACTATTTCTAGGCCCTGCGACCCAGTCAGGAACAGAAGCTCCACCTCCTTAGAGATGATGAACCTAAGGGTAGAGAGAAGAGGCAAGGAAGGTATCCAGGGTTGGGGGAGAAGGAGGACCAAAGTCAGAGCTCCAGGCTCCTGGAGAAGTACAGACATGGCCCCATGAACCCCATCTCCCTGAGCCCAGAGAATCATCCCTGGGGACTACTGGTGTTCACTGCTGTGCAAAGCACACACAATGTCACAGTGTTGGCATCTAAGTTTAAATTCTGGAGCTAAGTTGTTTGGGGTCAAATCCTCGCTCTGTCCCTCATTAGCTGTGTGACTTTGGACACGTTACTTAACCTATCTGGGCCAAAGTTTCCTCATCTGCAAGACGGCTAATAATAGCATCTATAGACCCCACAGGGTTGTGAGGATAGAGGGAGACAGAGGACACTCGTAAAGCACGTAGCGTCTGCCCCATGGTAAGCACTCTGTAAATGTTAGTTTCGTCAGCACTGAGTAAGTATTTGATGAATGGATGACTCAGTCAGTGATTAGGAGGAGGAGGCAAGGAGAGAGGAGGCCTGAGAAAAGGATCATTTGATCTGTCCCTCTGACCAAAACGTCTGCCATCCAGGGTCGCCCTTATTTGGCGGAAGGGGCCCCTCTCAGGAAGATTCCATGGTCTCCCTTCCCCTCTTAATGATTTCAGATCTCCTACGCCTCACGGCCAACGGTAAAGTCCTTTTTGATGCCTGACTTCGGTCTCTCCAACTACCATCTAGTTCCTTCCTTCTTGCCTTTGGGTCAGCAGGTCTCCTCTAGCTGGGGGAGCATTCCTGCTCCCCAGCCCACCCTTCCCTGTTCTTAGAAGGAGGTAGGAGGCTGGGCCCAGGGTGAGGACGACCCAGAGCAGTAGCCTGAAGACCACTTCAGACCCAGGGAATATGTGGGGGGTGGAGGGATCCCTAATTCAAAGAGACCCAGTCCGGATACCACACACGAGCATGAGAACCTTCTACATCATTGCAGTGTGAGAACTTTCTCCTCTGCCCATTACTGACCTTCCAGATTTTGTTCTCACCTCCCCACCCAGACCACTACCCATCTTGACCCAACTCCTCCCCCTTGAGGGCTGTCTCCTTAGGTTCAAGACTTTAAAAGAGGGCCCCTGCTCAGGCCCCACATCTGTCAGTCACCTTGAACTTCTTCAAAGCATTTTCCGGAACATAAGCTCGTTTGACATAAAGCTCAGATACTCCTCAGAGCCCCAGAATCTTCCCCCCGCCCCCCACCCCCACAAAGTCTAGTCCTGGGTCCTCCAAGCACGGTGCACCCCACCCCTGCTTACCTCCTCACTTTCCTCTTTCCTTCAGCACCCCCTCCCCAAACTCCAGAGCGATCCCTGCTCACCCTTCCTCCCCTGGATAAACTTCCTTTCAAAGCCCTGCTTAATCCTCTCCCCAATTCCAAGCCTCCCCTGCTGCCGTGGGGAGGGGTAGGGGAGCCGGGAAACAAGGCTGCAGGGCCCGGGGGAGGGGAGCTGGCTGCCCGAATCATGACCCACCCGACTCAGACCGCAATTCTCCCAAGTTCTTTGTGACACAAAAGGTAAACAGAAGGCCCGGCTTCCCTCCCCACCCCCCCCACCCCCCCACCTCCCACAGATCTCCCCTCCCCCCGCCAGCCAGATGGGCCGGCAAGCTGGGGGAAGGGGGGGGGGGGGGAAAGGGCAGATTGTGCAAAGGAAAACAAAAGAGACAGAGAGACACCAAGAGACAGGAAACTGGGGGGAGACAGAGTTGGTGGGTGAGAGATGGGGAGCAGCCTCTAAGAGAGAGCTGGGGAGACAGGGACAGGCTGAGTGATTCACAAGGATGGGGAAGCAGAAAGCTGAGAAGGGATGGGGACCCTGAGGGCAGAGCCAGGGAAGGCAAGCCAGGGGAGAGAGAGCTAACTCCGAGCCACAGACACAAAGAGGCTGAGCTGAGGAAGGCCTGGCTGATCAGGTGAAGCCAGAGAAAGAGAAGTTCTTCCACCCCACGCCTGCACTGGCTGCATTTGCTTCTGGAAAGCTGTGCACTTTGTGGCACGGGGGACTGGCAAGAGCAATCCTCCTGCTGGCCCTACCCCTCCCTCCGGGCCCAGTAACCCCCTCCCGACCTGCCCGGGCCCCAGCCCACACCCTTCTCCTCACCTGCACCGCAGACTGCTTGCTGTCATTGCTGCCGGGGGAGCTCAGGCCCGAGGCCTGCTGCAGCAGGAACTGCCTGGCCACCTGGAGAGCCTGCAAGATAGGGGCCTGTCAGGGCAAGGTCTCCCTGCTCTAACAAAGGCCTGAAGGGCCCAGAGGGGGTGGTCAGGGGTCAGTGCAGGACCTGGGTTTCAGGGAGAGTCGGGGGGGGGGGCAGCAAAGGGGACGAGAGCAGGCTAAGGGGGAAGGTCCTGGGGGTGAGTGACCAGGTCCCAGGGCCCACTTAGGCTTGGAGGTAAGGCCCAAAGTAGGAGTCCCTGAGAGAAGCCGCCAGGGCATGGGGATCAGAGCCTTTAGGTCCTGACTCTAGGACCTGAGAGGTTTTACTGGGACTCAGTGGGGGCAGCAAATGGAAGGGACAGCGGCCACGAAAGGACTCCAGGGGAAAGTGCAGCACTTGGACCCCAGGTACTAACAACAGGTACTACTCGCTGAACATCTATTACGAGTCAGGCCCTTCACACACAAGATCTCGTTGAATCCTTCCTGTGAGGCTGGGAGCCAGGGATTGATTATCTGTTCCATTCTACGGCTGAGGAAATGGAGTCTCCGGGAGGTAAAGGGACGTGCCCAGGATCACACAGCCAGGTGTCAGAGACAGGATCTGAGCCCAGGAAGCCTTGGCTGGGTGGCCGGTCTGGAGGCTATGGGAGGGGCATTTACTCGGAGTCACTCGGGCCATGAGGGCGGAATCTCAGGGTCCGAGCACTGTGTGGCTTTCTGAGTCGGGGGATCTGGGTGCAGGCCCTCGTGGTATGGGGGAATTCGGTCAAATCCTCAAGGGTGTGTCTGAACTACCAGCGAGTAGCTCCGACCTCACTGTGGCAGTCCGGGCTCAGAGGCCCTGGTGGCTTGGACAGGACTGTGGGCCGGCAGGGTGTGGAGGCTGCAGGTGGAGCAGGTCCGGCCCATCCGTGAGCCTGGAAGGTGAGCAGCGAGAGGTCTGGTGGGAGAGTGGGGGGTCTGGGAGGCAGCCGTAGGAAGTTCTCCATCCATAAGGACGGCCAGGCCCTCCACTGCCAGACTCTGAGTCACTATGTGTGTGGGGGGGGGGGGGGGGGGGGGAGGGGGTATAGGCAAGGGGATGTGGGGACCTGTCCTGAATCCACATTCCAGGAGCACAACACCTGTCTCCCCCCACATTCCACAAAGATCTCCTTCGACACCCCAGGTAGTTGTGTCCCGGCCTTTGATAGGGGGCTCTGGCACCAGACAGACCTGGGTTTGAACCCCAGTGGTGCTGCTTCCCAGCAGTATGACCTCGGGCAAATTACTTTCTCCCTGGGCTTCAGTCTCTTCTGCGAAACCAGGACACTACCCATTTCTGAAACACCAGGGGGATGAAAGGACCCCTGCCTGGCATCAGGGTGGCATCACGGAGCGTCTGCCCCCTTCCCTTCTCGGGAATCTCGGTTCTCTTCCCGGGCTCTCTCCCTTGGCTCCTTCGGCCAGTCCCCAGCACGGCCTCCTGCCCAGCGTACTTATGTAACGAAGCATGCTCACCGCAGCTCCCTCACCTCTATCCACATACACACTTGTTTGTCCCCGTGTGGACTTGTGCTCTCTGACCTCACCACCACCAAGGCAAACCTTACGCAGTGCAATATGGACACGCTCATACACACTCTCCACCCAGCGAATGCTCACGGGGGGCCCACTGCACGTATATACGCGTCCTTCGCGGCCCCTTCTTAACTGCCATTGAACAGCTGAGCCACCCCCAGGCTTAAGCCTAGCTCCCCTTGGCACGGTTTGCAAATACTCACTTGTGTACCTCGGGGCACATGCCCCCCAGCAAACCTGGAGTTCAGATGCCTTCCCCAGTCCCCCAGGTCCTAGACCTTCCCCAGCACCCCATCCATTCCCCTAGGGAGGTGGCCTGGGCTTTCTTCTCCCAGATTGACTTCAGAAAGTAGAAATCTAACCTGAGTCAAAAGGCTCTGGGGGGCTTTGAAACGAGGGAGATGGGGTGAGGGAAGGAAGGGAGGTGGCCACGTGGTCATCAGGAAGGAGCCCCTGCCTCTATCTGCCTTAGTGACCTCCTCCAGGTCTACGGGAGTCAGACAGATGCTCTTTGTCCTCCAAAAGTGGAGGTGGGGTAGAGAGGTAGGAGGTCAGAGGTCAGGGGGCAAGCTGGGGGAAGAGGAAGGCTTGGAGAAGCTGGCCAGCCCAGGCAACCCAGAGTGGGGAGAGGGGAGCTGCAGGGGAGGGGCTTCCAGGGGAAGTTGGGGGGAGTTGGATTCACTCCCCACAGACTCTCTTGCTTTGTGGTCCCCTGGAGCACGAAATTACAAGATTTGTAGGAAAAAACGACAGGCCTTATAGTCTCAATCGGTGACAGGCCCTTCACTCGCCTTCATGCCCTCCTCCCACTCGGGGCCTCCCCTGCAGGCCAGGTGACAGGGAGCCCGGCTACAGCCCCACTCACTTCTTCCTTCACGTAACTGAGCACCTGCTGTGTGCCAGGTGCTGAGACACACAGAAGCCAACGCTGGCCTGCCCCAGGACCCGTGGCTGCGGGGCTGTGACGACGGCCGCCCCTCAGAGCCTGAGTAGAGGTGAGCCCAGGGCACCACAGCCCGGAGAAGGCGGCGGCACTGGCTGCACTGCCTGGATTCCCGAAGGGCGGGCTCCTCAGGAGGACAGGAGGCTGGCATAGCGACCCCCGCCGTACAGAGGAGTGAAATGGCCCAGCAAGTCCCGGGACCTTGAAACCACTCCTGGGCTGGCAGCAGGAAAGGCTGGAGGAGCCCACAGGGGCCCTCAGGTCATTAGGGTCAGAGCGCCTGCAGGCACTCCATTCATTCATTCGTTCATTCAGTCTCTCACATTCGTGGCCACCCACCTTGCACAGGCCCTGTGCTCAGAGGAGACAGGGAGGTGATGGTACACAGGGTTGTCTCGTGCAATTTGCTTACAGAGCTCAGCCCTGACCCAACTGAGAGTGGCATGGGTACCATCTAAAAGTCACGCTGTGCGTACCCAGGGTTAAGGGTGATGGGCAGACCCTGGACTTGGGGCCCAAGCTCCCCTCCCCAGATGGCCTGGACAAGGAAGGCCCTGACTGCTGCGTCCTCCAGTGTTGCTCCACTCCCCACTCCCCGCCACCGTCCACACATCCAGAGCCCCAGCTGGGGACAGCACTCTGGAAACTAGGGGGTCCCTCTGGCCCAGGATTCCCTCCTCCAGGGCAGTCACCCAAGGGATCAGGTAGAGCTGAGACTTTCTAAAGCCCCGCCTGACTCCTAGCCACCACTCTGACGTGCCAGGCATCCTCAACACTGGCTGCTGGCCCTGAGGCCTGATGACATCACCACTGCCTGCTGCTGAGAGCCGGGGGCAATGATGGCCCCCAACCCTGGACAGATCCAGCCCCACCTTCTCTGCTGATGCCGACCAGGTCATAGCCCCCCTGAAGACACCGATGTTATGAGATGTACCTGTGAGCCCCTCCCCAGCAGCAGGCACCCCTGCGAAATTCACTTTGGTCTAGGCTGAACAGGGTTGGCAGGGCAGGTGGACAAAGAGCTAGCATCGGTATAGGGCCTTCTAGATCTTGCTGAAGCACGGGTCACTGTCTCCATCTTACAGACAAGGAAACTGAGACCCAAGGTCCCGCGGCCAGGAAATGGAGTCCACACACCTCTGATGCCCCAGCTCCCTTCACCCACTGGAGGGCCTTCACGATGCTGTGCATGGTCTCTCAGGGCCTGTGAATCTCTCCCCTAAGCCTGTGTGCTTTCTGCTGTCTACGTGTGAAAGGTAGGTAAAACTGGTTCAGGCCGGTAGACACGACCAAGGCAGGACTCTTCAGAAAGCCAGGCTCAATGTCCCTTCCCTGAGGGCCAGAGATATCCGAAGACGGCCTTGGGTGGCAAAAGGCATTCAGAATCCCACACCAAGGAGGAGCCATCATGGCAAACCTAGGAGGGAGGGAAGGAGAGGGAGAGGGGGCTCAGGGGCAGAATAGAAAACTGGGAGTCATCTGGCCTCTTAAATCCCCTCTCTCCACCCCTTGGACCTAAAACCTAATCTTCAGCTCTGGGGGACTTGGGCGGATAAGGTCTAGTTTTCCTCAAAAGGAGGCAGTGGTGGGCCATTCAGTTCATGGACGCTGGTGGACATCTGGATGCACATCCCGGCTCCACCATACACTGGGTGACCTTGGGTAAGTCACCTCACCTTGCTGAGCTTCAGCTTCTGTCTCTGCAAAGTAGGAAGAACCCTGTCCTTAACCCCCAGGGTTGTTGTGAAGTGTACACGAGGCACATGTAGCACTTACCACAGTGCCTGGTGCCCAGCGGGCCCTGAGCGGACATCAACTTTTGTCGTTACTATTAATCTGCCACCTTCCCAGGCAGCTCCCGGTCACTTGTCCAGTGCCACCCAGCAGGACTTGCTAACCAAACCCTCCTCTGGGCTACACCGCCCCCCTTTCCCCCTCAAGCCCAAGAACGGTCTTGCTAATGAAGGCGAACTCTCCTCCCCCCACCGCCCATTCAGAAGTCATTAGCAGGATCTCCACAATTAGGAACAAATGGCTTATAACGGACAGGCATCCAGGGAGGGCGGCTGGGATGGAGGGGAGCGAAGCCAGAGCTCTGAGGGCCACGGGGCCCGCTCTGAAAAGAAAAACAAGTCTCGGAGCAGTGGGGTCTCCGCTCCGCAGGATGAGACCACACCCTCATTTCTGTCTCTGGGAATTCAGTGGGGAGGGACAGGCATCCTCTCCATGGGAGCCAGGTGCAGGGCTGTTCACTGGCCCCTTCCCCAGGCTGAGGATTAGGAGGGTGGGGATGGGGTGCTCAGAGACAAGCCTGAAGGGCTGAACTTTGAGAATGGAGCAGCAGAATCACCCAGACCTGGCAGGCTGGAAGCGTTAGAGCCATCTGGTCTTGTGTTTTCTAAACTGCTGGTCATGAGCTAATGGTGGGTCATAATATCAATGTAGGGGGTCCAAAAAATAGGGACACATACACCAGTATGTAAGAAAGCATCAGAGTTATTAGGGTATGCATAAGTATTGTTTCATG